AATGTGAATGTATTCATACATACACCTAATAAGGTATGAGCTAAAATAAGAGGAGACATGCTTAAAACTCCTTTGCTTGCTATATGTCCTATCGAAACAAAAATGCTTATCAATAAGCAGCATATAATGTAAAAAACACTACTGCTCATATCACTATTAACATTTTTTATTAATAAAGTTGTTTCAGATAGCAGTAGAATTTGATTACTAGCATGATAAGAGTCAAAATTTTTGCATAACGAATTTTCAATTAATGTATTCAATTTTTTTATTAGCCTTTGTTCCTTGACGTAAATAAATTCAAGTAATAAAGCTGTTAAGTAGATAGAACAATTAAAAGTAATTATGCTTATAGGTAGAGCTACTTTTATTGCGATTCTCGGGATACTTCTTGTATTATTTGGTAGGGCTTCTAAATTCAAACCAAAATTATGGCTCTTGCTTAAAGAGAATAAGCAGATTATAGCTACATTTATCAGAATGAAACTTACATAGAGAAAAAGATGTGTGCGAAACCAAATCTCCATAGAATTGGCCGTTTTGGTTTCTCTTCTTCCACTGTGTAACATGAATATCTTGTTTATGTTCTTGGCTAAACTTTTAATGTTTCTGGAAACAGATATGCGTAATAGGAAAGCAGATATCAAAACCGAAATGTCTCTTTGTTCAAAGCAAAAATTGTCTCTTTTGTTCTAGCTTCAAAACTAGATGAAATATTGCAATAATATGCAGTGCTCCAATTAAACTCTCAGTTATCTTTATAAATCTGAGCACGTGTCTTTGAATTCCTTTTCCTGAAGAGTTTATTGAAGGTATATGAATACCCAAAATTGTAAACATAAAACAAATTGCTCTCCATTCTTGAGGCTCCACAAAGCGCATATGATCTCGTTTCCATTTCCAAACATTACTTTTATTTGGCAACCAAGGTCTTCTACATTTCTTAAGTTTCCAGCAAAACATAGCTGTTCATTTCATGAAGTAAATCAATAATCATTGCTTGTTTCTGAAAGAAATTATATGCGATTCAAGAATTAATAACAGACATATTGAGGCACTGAAGCTGAAATGCTTTCTTTGACATAGGTATGTTTTCTCAGTAATACTTAAACGTTCTCGTTTTGAAATGAATGAGAGAAATACTGAATAAAAGTTAAGGTATGAAACGTCTGATCTCAAATTTTACCAATTTATATTTTCGTTTATCAACTAAGCTTTTAGGTAAATATTTCGAAATGAAAAACCTTTCACATGTAATCAAATTTCCTGTTACAAATGACATATATTGTATTGATTTTCATCCGATGTGCTTTGATCTCTTAGAATAATACGAAAACACCAACATTTCTGAGAATAAATATGGGAATAGTATAGAAAAGTTTCTATTCTATTGGAAAGAGAGCTCTCTTATTTATTTAGAATATGAAAAGTATAACTGTTAAAGAACCAGACTTGTTGCAAAATGTGTCAATAATTTTATAAAGTATTTGAGTAAAGGTTTTATTAATATTTGTGAAACTGTTTGTTTCATCGCAAACGTATTTTCTGGAAATACTCAAATCAGAATTATGAAAGCATAATTAAATTGTATTTTTAAATATTTATCGATTTATCGAAAGTCCTTTAAATCTGAAACTATTAAAAATTCATATTTAAGCTGAGGTTAACTGGAAGAAAATATCTATGCGTTTCGAGGCAGACTGACAAGGGTGTATTGTTTAAAAAGCTGTAATATTTCTCATTAATGAGAGTAAGAAATTAATTGAGAAAAACTGACATATCTTTCTCAAGTGCTTAATTTTACGTAACGCGTAGCAGGTCATGGTCTTTTAAGTGCAACCATCGCCCTCGCCCTTCGTATAATACCTGCAGTTAAATGACTGCAACTTTAATTTCAAATACATTTTACTAGTTTGGTTTGGTTTATGTGATTACAGCAAAGCCTTGAGGGCTATCTGCCTAATGGGAGAGATGCCTTTGTTGAGGACTTTCTGAGGGAAACTTATCGTATATACGAGGGTAAGTTGAAAAATAAGTTTCCCCTGTCGACTGTGGTCAGAGTTGTGTATGAAAGTCAAAAAAAAAAAAAAAAAAAAAAAAAAAAAAAAAAAAAGAATGAGACATTAAAGATATGACATACCTTTATTTTTCCACATAGGTACCAAGTACATTGAGACATTTTTCATATCGCTTGATAAGCTTCAAAAAGCCCTCCAGGAAAAAATCAGGGCTTTGCATATGGAAGAAGCGTTGAACGGCTTGTTTCCCTTCAGTATTGCTTCCAAAGGGTCTTCCTTCGAGATTTTTCTTCAAAGCCCAAAACAGATGGAAGTCGCTTGGTGCGAGATCAGGACTATATGGCGGATGGTGTAGGCGCTCCCAACCAAAAGTTGCAATATGGTTTTGCGTTGCCGTCGCCGAATGTGGTCTGGCATTGTCATCCAACAGCAGAACGCCAGATGCGAGAAAGCCAGGCCGCTTTTTCCGAATCGCCTCTTTCAATTTCGACAGGGTGTCACAGTAGCGCGTAGCATTGATGGTTCCAACCTCCAAAAAGTCCAGCAACAAAACTCCTTGAGCGTCCCAGAAAACTGTGAGGAGCACTTTACCTGCAGAGGGAGTTGTCTTGAACTTCTTTCGGACAGGTGATGACGGATGTTTCCACTCCATAGATGCGGCCTTCGATTCTGGCGTGAAATGGTGGACCCACGTTTCATCCCCCGTCACAATCTGAAACAGAAAGTCATTGCCATCTTCATGGTAAAACACGAGATGTTCCTGGCTGACCCCCATGCGTTGTTCCTTGTGTGTCGAGGTCAATTGTCGGGGCACCCATCGTGCTGACACTTTTCTGTATCGAAGAATGTCGTGGATGATGTTTTGAGCTCGCTCATGTGAGATTCCAAGTTCTTCCGCTACTTCATCGATGGTGATACGCCGGTTCGCTCTAATCATGTCATCTACCTTCCTGACATTTTCATCTGTAGTGGCCGTGCGCGTCCGTGCAACTCTCGGTATGTCCTCCACTTGCTGACGTCCATCACTGAATGTGAGACACCATCTCCGCACCATTTGCTTCGACATCACACCTGGCCCATAGACTTCCACGAGGCGGTTATGAATTTCTGTTCCTGATACTCCACGTGCCCATTCATAGCGGATAACCACTCTCATTTCCTCCTTTGACCACGAATTCAAAACGCACCTTCTCTCCATACCTACCGGGGCTCAAATGAGACGCTGGTCTCCGCTTTGCGCAGGCACTGCAACAGCGCCAGCAACCTCTACCCAATGGTATATGGGACATTGGCGATATGACAAATGTCTCAACGTACTCGTACGAGAATAATAAAATCAAGGTATGTCGGGGGGGGGGGGGGGGGGGGGGGGGGGGGGGGGGGGGGGGGGGGGGTGGGGGGGGGGGGGGGGGGGGGGGGGGGGGGGGGGGGGGGGGGGGGGGGGGGGGGGGGGGGGGGGGGGGGGGGGGGGGGGGGGGGGGGGGGGGGGGGGGGGGGGGGGCGGGGGGGGGGGGGGGGGGGGGGGGGGGGGGGGGGGGGGGGGGGGGGGGGGGGTGGGGGGGGGGGGGGGGGGGGGCGGGGGGGGGGGGGGGGGGGGGGGGGGGGGTGGGGGGGGGGGGGGGGGGGGGTGGGGGGGGGGGGGGGGGGGGGGGGGGTAATTTAATGTCTCATTCTATGTTTTGACTTTCATACACAACTCTGACCACAGTCGACAGGGGAAACTTATTTTTCAACTTACCTACGTACGTTACACATGAGGACAACCACGAAAGCGTCCATACAGCCAGCCCGTTCGAGTGATTCGAACTTCAGACTGAACTACCAGTATCCAGTGACTTTATAGTTTGACCATTTTACCGGTAAATAGTCAGGAAATATCATTATATAAGTCAAATTTCACCAGCGCATTGGTTTATAGTGGTATAGCAATGAAAAAGTCGCAGCAAGATATTGTTAAATCTTAAAATCCTACTTATTTTGCCAACACTTCATTTCGAGTCTTAATTTGACCATACTTCTATTATTGTTATACAACTCAACGAAAATGAGTTTCAAGTGAATATGATATATACGTGTCTTGTTAGTTAATATGCTGACTGATGTAAACTAAATAAAAAAGTTCAGTTATGGCCCACAAAAATGTTGATGTGAATTTTAGAGGTACATATTGTACTATGTTTTGTAGAAAGTAGTATGGGAGATTTATATCTGCTTTCTTTTTTGGTACATTGTTAGATGTTCTCCATTCAATTTTTCCTTTATTTATCAGTTTCTGATGATTTGCTAATTTTATATATTGCTTCTTAAAAGACTATAAAACCATTAAACTATAAAACCTTTTGTGTTACATACTTTAGGCATTAAACTCTAAAACCTTTTGTGTTACATACTTTAGGCATTAAACTATAAAACCTTTTGTGTTACATACTTTAGGCATTAAACTATAAAACCCTTTGTGTTACATACTTTAGGCATTAAACTATAAAACCTTTTGTGTTACCGAACAACATACGGCAATAGCGATAGAATAGGGATTGAGATTTCACGAAATATTGCAATGGTCTAAGTTAGTCAATCGAATATTCTTCTGCCTGCATTTAAGAACAAAAGTAACTGATTCAGTCTATTACTGAAAATGTAATAAAAATAGCTCGCTTAAAAATTATAATTTGGATACAGCAGAAATATTAAGATTGAATGATTTAAATTCCTTTTTTTGTATTTGTAGATAGTTTATCCCAGGGCAGCAAAAATGGGCCTCTAGTTTCAGGATAATAAACAGACATTAATTGCTTTTTATCAAAATCGCAACACCTGCAAGAATTCTTTCGAAGAATTAAAATACAAAACATCTCTTAATTTTTACAAGCTGAAATTTCGATAAAAAATATGAGCATTCTTCGTGTTTGGAATATACAGTATATCCTCTTATGGTTCAAACCTTTACTATTACATAATTTTCTTTTGTTCATTAATTTTCAGATTGCTGATTTCATTGGCCGGTTGTCCAAAATTTTGCGAAAATTCATCGAAACCATATCGCAATTAAATTCTGAAAAAGGACCTGAGCAACTGAATGGTGCTAAAAACGCATACAAGGAGGGCAAAGGGTTAGGAATGGCTGGAAAATTCCGAAAGGAATTAAACAAACTGATGAAAAAAATTGTAAGTTTAACATTTAAATTAAATTTAATTGCACGAAAATAAACAGTAGTATTTAAAAATAAGAATACTAAGCATAAAATTTTAAATAGGCAAGTTTAAATGAAATAAAAATAAAAAAAAAAGAAAAAGAAAATTTTACATAAAAGTAATGCATGCAAATGAACGAAATAAAATTTATTCTCTTATTGTGTATTTCAGGTTGTTCCAAGTAAGTCCTTGAAGCCACTTAGTAATGACTTTGCTGACGTAATAAACATTTCACGATCGAAACTAAATTAAGAGGCGTTGGATTCGGTACTCCAAAGATAGCCGCAACTTAACTGGTACAATTTTGGCCTCATAATTAGAATGCTCTATACTTAAATAATATATTACATTGCAATTTAGTTATACCTTTTATAGCATTTGGTAAGGTTTATAGATGGATAAAACATATTTCAAATTACAAGTATACCTTTTACAGCATTTGGTAAGGTTTATAAATGGATAAAACATATTACAAATTACAAACATATTACAATGCATAATTACAAATTTCTAAGAATTATTTTCATTAAAAAATATAAAATGAACAGCATGATGAACATGTTCTTACTTGTTTATTAATAGTCATTGGCAAAAAAATACATACCCAAAATTTTAGAATGTATGTGATTAATATTTTAGCGCTATGATATATAGCTGGACAATTTTATTTTTTATTTCAAGTTTCGCATTTACGTATCTATAACAAACACATTTAGATAATTTAAAACGAAACATTACAGTGTATAGTATTAATTCACAGCACTGCATAACGTTTTAATTGTGCGATAAAAAAATTAACTGATCTTATGCGGTAAAAAAATGCAATACCAAATCGTTCATTTTGATGTTAATGAGCATCTGAGAAATCAAAAAGCTTAGATTCATAAATTTAAATAGAATGACATGAGTACTTTCTTCGAGGATTTCTCAGTATAAAATTGTCTAGGTTTCAAAGAATGAAGAGTTTTTTAAATTGATTGATTTTTTGATATAAGTTGTTAGAAGACTATTTTTTTTATATAAAATTTGATAGGATTGCACTTATTTAATTTTTATTGAAAAAAATTTTTTTTTTTTTTTAGTCCAAAGGGATTTGAATCCCGAAGGACTATTAGTTTCGTTTTGGCATTTTGCGTCGGACTCATAAATGTCGGTTCACTTTTCAAACTGTTGCCATAAAATGTTAGAGTCCTGCATTATATTTGAAGAAATTAAATAATGAAAAATCTGCGTAAATGTATGTATATTTCTCGTATTGTCATAAAACAAACGGTACATAGAGTCATCGAATTTTGAATAACGTAATCCTCCAACGAATATGAGCATGTGGAAGACCAAATTTGAAATTTGAAATTTGTTTTATGATCGATTTCCTATTTTTTAAAACTTTGACGAATTTTTGATTAACAAACTCAAGGATTTCAAAGCGAGCAATGGCAACGTTGTGCAGAAAAACATTTTTATCTCCAGCGCGTGAGTCTCTGTATCGGAAATTCTAAAGATATGCTCGTTTTAAAACTATTTTGCGATATTGCTGTTGCACTGGATCTTATGGTTTAAGTGCGAGGAACATGATATTTAATAAAGAAAGGTAACACAAAATGTTAAAAAAACGCCCCTTTGGACGTAATTTAAAATCTGAAACATTTCAGATTTTTTTTTTTTTTTTTTTTTTTTTTTTTTTTTTTTTTTAGTCCAAAGGGATTTGAATCCCGAAGGACTATTAGTTTCGTTTTGGCATTTTGCGTCGGACTCATAAATGTCGGTTCACTTTTCAAACTGTTGCCATAAAATGTTAGAGTCCTGCATTATATTTGAAGAAATTAAATAATGAAAAATCTGCGTAAATGTATGTATATTTCTCGCATTGTCATAAAATAACGGTACATAGAGTCATCGAATTTTGAATAACGTAATCCTCCAACGAATATGAGCATGTGGAAGACCAAATTTGAAATTTGTTTTATGATCGATTTCCTATTTTTTAAAACTTTGACGAATTTTTGATTAACAAACTCAAGGATTTCAAAGCGAGCAATGGCAACGTTGTGCAGAAAAACATTTTTATCTCCAGCGCGTGAGTCTCTGTATCGGAAATTCTAAAGATATGCTCGTTTTAAAATTATTTTGCGATATTGCTGTTGCACTGGATCTTATGGTTTAAGTGCGAGGAACATGATATTTAATAAAGAAAGGTAACATACAAAATGTTAAAAAAACGCCCCTTTGGACGTAATTTAAAATCTGAAACATTTCAGATTTTTTTTTTTTTTTTTTTTTTTTTTGAAGTTTTGGTAAAAATTTGCGCACTTTTTAAATTTAACTTGGGTTGTTCCTTAGCTTTTTTGGGTCATTTAAAGCAGAAAAGCTGCGGCGAGCTGCTGTAATAAAATTTTGTTATCCTTGTACCCTATATTCTATAGAAGACCTATGCCTGCAAAATAATTATAAGACTAAAAATGTCGAAGAAAGTTTAAAAAATATTACAAAGGGAAAAAAAAGAATACAAAAATGAAAGTATAAAAAATAAAAATAAAAGTAAATTAAAAAAAAAGTACAGGTTAGAATTATGGCAATCAAACAACTGTATGGGTAACTCAAAATGAACTAATTTCTGTCTAGTTTCAATTCTATTTTATTTTTATCCTCATTTTTTACATTTTTGTCATTCTGTAAATTATTTACAAAGATACTAAGGATATTTTTAAGCAAGGGCGTTTTGTAATAAAAACTTTACTACTAACCAATTCGAGAACTTTTTATTAGATTCTGCATGCCTTCAGCTATGTGTTTCACGCAGTTTATGAAATTTGTCAAACTTTCGTCGCAGCTATATACGGCTTGGAAAGGCAGATATGTACCACTATGTATAGCGTCTCAGCTATCTACTGCTGTGTGCCACGTTTCAGCTATGTACCGTTATGTGCTTCTATGTACCGCGACCCAGCTATGTACCGCTTGGAAACTTTCATCGCAGCTATGTACCGTTTACCGCTTGGAAGGATAAGAATTACTGAATAGTTATTATCACTTCTTTATCGGTTTAAGAATGACTATCGGGGTTTAACGACTTTTCAGATGCAGGAAGATGTATTAGCACCAACTCTAGGCTGTATGGGAATGATTCAATCAAAGCTTAAGATTCAATCAATCGTAAGATTCAATCAAAGCTTGCGTATGAGCAGCAGAATCAAGTCTCTTAAAATGATGGAGCTCTGGCAGATAGTATGTTGCGGTCGAACTTTGTTCTGGATTGCTCTGTTATTCGTTAAATAGCTAATATTACAAATTTGACAGTGTGCAGCAAACTTTATTGTTATTTCTGATGAGTAAAGTTCATCAGCAAACTGAAATTTGTCCCAAAATTCAGCTGTCCAGGATGTCATGGCTCAAATGTCCTAGAATTGCCCTAAACTTGCGAGTTGAGAATATTTGAATTTCATTATCTTCAAATATGAAGTGCGTCACTATCAACTGCGGCTTAGATACATAGGTCACACCAGATAACAAGATCACAAGCTCTTGTCTTTCGTCAGATCAGATCTGTCAGACCAGATCGTGTGTTTCGTTACGACACGGATCAACATTTCCTCACCTTCTTCATAATAACAAGTAGAATAGGCCAAAACATTGACCAGTTTCATTATATTGTATTCCTTGGCAAACGTTCTTAACTCAGGGTACAAATTCTCGCAGACTACGTTTCCTATCAGCTTTGTAAATAATTAAGATGAAAACATAGAAATAGTGAATGAATTTTTGTCATTATTCAAAAAGTCTACTGAAAGCAGAAGATTGTCAGCGGCTACAGATGGTTGGTCCGAAGGTAGGTCAACATATGCAATTCTTCCTTAAACAGCCTCACCTCTTTGCCATCACTTATAATGTTCTCATCCTATATATCACAGATCTGACGATGAATCTCTGTTGATGTCGCATTTCTGGCGGTCCGGAAACGAATAATAGAGCTTATTTTACAGGCACCCAGATTCTCAATCATTTTTAACATTTCCATCACAAGACACGAAACGTAAACATTGCCGAAATAATTCAAAATTAAGCTTGTTGTTTTGCAGTAGTTGATATAGGAGAAACTGCGCATGTATGAAATTATTATTGCACACATTTAAAAAAAGGATATCGCCAAACGACCTTAGTTAGAAATATTCTGTTTAACTAGTATTAGATTTCGTAGATAGTTTTATTTTTATATGTGCCTTCTTTTTAATTTTCAATGTAGAAACGCTCTTAGACGACCCAAGTGTTTCGATTTACATGCATTATGGATCCAGCGATTGTGCAGCTGTAGAATCTGCTTCCACACTGTATCCCGGATATTTAACTTCTTCAATTCGTAATTCAACAGGCAATGGCTATAATTACCTATGTTTACCTAAGTCTCCCGATGAAAATACTATGAAAACGTACACAGGTGCGAAAAATCAGAGCTTCCTAGCTGGAGTAAAGTATGGATTTATGGAAAACAAGCCTTTCCCTTTTGATGATGAAGACACTATGCTGAGGGGGGTCGTTTGTGCTGCTTGTTTGATGAACGAGACGCAAACAGTGTTTACCTTCCATGGTAAGAAGTTTATTTTCAATATATAACATATGTTACGGTGAAACACCGAAATCTGGAGAATGTCGACTTTATCCGGTGAATGTCAACATTCACATAGTCTCTTGGTGTATGTCCGAAATATTTTCCAAATACTCTTATTTCTGACTTACACTGGTCAATGTCGACAATCACCATGTACTAATGGTGAATGTTGAACATATAACAATATTATATTTTCTTCTACGTAATTCAGTCGCGAATAAACGCACTCGAAACTTGAAATAAGAACTTAAGAACACGAGAACCTAAAACACACAATACATTCAAAATGAGAAAGGAAAATAATAGAAGTTAAAAACTTACGAGTACTTACTCGTACTTAATTATATAGTACGTTCTAAATGAGAAAATAAAATAACAGTCATAAAAAACTTACTAAATTATGGGATTCAAATCTTATTTATTGCAACAACTTAAACTATTATGGCACTTTATGACCTCTCTTTTCGACTTTCACCAGAGCGTATCTGTGATTGTCGACATACACCAGTGAGAGTCCGAATATACAAGAATGTAGTGAAATATTCGGTCTTTTACCGACGTATTTGGTGAATGTTGATATTCTCTGGTGAAAGTCGACATTCTCCAATTTCGGTCTTTCACGGTAACATATATACACGTAAGAATACATTTAAGTAGTATATAATAATAGTATCGAAATAGAGCATAATACAATAAATCTCTATCATCCGAAATAACTTCAGTTAGTATTGTTTCAGAAAACAGGAAAGTCGCTTCAAAAAGAAAGCCATAGTCGTTTCGGTTAAAAAGCTAATATTTCTGCCTCTTTATATGACAAAATAACATGTTAATCTTCTTATCATAGCTTAGTGTATTTAATATAAAACAAAGGAAACTATGCATTAGAAGTATTGGTGGATTTTGTTTTTCATACGGAAGAGCTTTAAGAAAAATTTGCTACTTCTTGTTGAATTTTAGTATGAAAGGCTTAGCTAACATAGAAATTTAATAAAAAGAAATCCAAAATAAAATACTGATAATTTTATGATAAATTTGTAAGGATTATGTTAATTTTATTAACAGTTAAATTTTGAGTTAAACTTCCTTTCCTATCGATTCTTAATTTCAAGTTACCACTCCCGGCCAGAACGTAGTTTTAGAATCATGCCTGAATGCTAATGAGGAAGAGCGGTATTTAACCGCGAAGTTCTTCTGTCTTAGAGATATCAGATATTCTCTGGCTGCACGCGTCCGACTTTTTAGGCTAGTTTCTCGTAAACTATTTTTACGCTCGGCCGTACTTTAGGCCCTTGATAGCTTCGCAGTCAATTAGCGTTAAGGGGCCAACTCTGTTAGAATTTTGATAGCTTCGGCTATATCTCTTTGGTTAAGATTAGTTTAGTTTAATTCTTAGTTTCTTAAGTTCAAGCCCAAGTTTCGACTTTATTGTACAACTCCAAGACGGAGTTCTGTTACACTTGATTGGAATAATAAAGGGTTATTTTACCCTTCTATTTTGTTGTTTCCTGTCACACGAACTCAAGCGATTATTCGCTTATCAGATCTTAAGATTCTTCACGTTCATCAAGTTATTTTAAAACTGAATATTAAACCTTTCTCATTTCATAGCAGTTCTTCCAAAAGAAATCAAAAAGTATATACGCCTTATCTATGAACTAGGTAAAATGCTTAAAGCAGTGCGCTTTTATTAATTAGAAGAAAAATATCATTTAATACTTAACAGGGCTTACCTCAAATTATGTTATACAACTAGAAAAACTGGGGTAGGATAATTAAGAAAATAAGTCTATTAAATATTTGCCTACACGTTTTTATCATGAATTATAATTCGATAAAAACTAAATTCGATTAAAATTCTAAACTTCGATTAAGGAAATTAAATAAAATTATACATTTAAATTTAAAGCATTTCTCTGAACTATTACCAAAATCTTCTCGTGCCTAATTTACTATTTAATGTATTATTTACCTAGTGATCCACCTACATATATAATATTCTTCGTTTCTTTTAAGGTCAAAAAGAATGCCCGGATCAAGAAGGGTGGAGAGCAGTCTATGGTGGTTATCTTATGTCTCCTACTGACGTATCAAGAGGAGAGACGATATGCGTTGACAAAAAGCTTGAGTCTCATGCGGATAGTTATATGGGTTTCTACGATCAGAGCCTTAATTTTGTTTTGCGAAAGCAGGAAGGGGAGCTACTATTTATACCTTGTGTTGTATGTGCTAAATAAATGTTATTTTAAGAACCATATATTGAGTATTTACATGTTTGAAAATATGGATAAGCTTTTAGAAGTCCTTTGTTAAACGTAAAATAATTTATTTGCAATGCGTAGCATTGTGTCGATATGGTGCCTACATTATGCAAAATGAAAGTGCTCAATAAAAAATATTACACTAAGAAACGTGAAAAGGTTTTTATGAATATGAACAGTTACATATAAAAGCTATACTGATTTGTATAGATGAAAATTATAGAAATATTAGTTTTTAACAATGAAAGTACATTGAAAGTATTTTTCATAATTTTAAGTTTACAGTTAGGCATAACACATGCCTTAAAATAGATAATCACCTATTAAATGTATTCTTCCCTATTTTTAGTCCAAAGGGGCGAGAAGGTCTGTTTACCTCGAAACGGCATTTTGCGCTGAATCACTAAAAGCGTTATATCACTTTTCAGATTGTTGCCACCAAATATTATTGCCCGGTATTACATTTAAAGAAATTAAATAATGAAGAATCTGTACGTATGCATGTATCTTTCTTGCATTCGTACAGATTCTTCATTATTTAATTAAGACAACGGTACCTAGAGCTATCTAATTTTGAATAACGTAGTCTTCCACTCGAATATGGGCACCTGTAAACCCGAATTTGGAATTTGTTTTATTCTCTATTGCACATTTTGTGAAACTTTAACGAATTTTTGACTGAGAAACTCAACGATTTCAACGCCAGCAGTGGCAACACGGTACGGAAGAAAAACGTTTTTATCTCCAGCGTGCAATACTGTCTATCGCCAAGTCTAAAGATACGCTATTTTTAAATATTTTTAGCCCAAATGCTCTCGAAACGTCCCTTTGGAGGTAATATAAAATCTGATAGCTTTCATTTTCATTTTTAATCTTTTATTTTTTATTATGAGTAGAAAATTTTTCGAAGTATTGGGACCAAGGGAACATATAAAAAAATTAGATTTGGTATTGTTTACAAAATTGATTTTTTTAAACTACAGAAATCTCAGGCATAAACATTTGAATCATTTAAAAACGTAGTTTTTGAAGTTTGAAGTCTCCCCCCCCAAAAAAAATGCGAAAATAAGGCTCCAGTAAAGCCTTCAGATACGTTGTATATGAAGTTATATAGGGTTCTTGTATATTCTGGTGAATAGGGTAAAAAAAAAAAGTTAAAAATTAGAGCAAAATTAAAAAGTAATAGAAAAATTTCGCTTTTTGTATTCTAGAGGACTAGAGTAAAATTAAAAAGTGTTACAAGAATTTCGCTTTTTTCTTATTTAAAATTTCACTAAAATCACAACATTTTTTTTGATTAAGTGATTGAAAACAGTGCAGTATAAAAATCTTCCATCGCGGTGAGGCTGAGTGTTTAACTTGAAATAAAATTTAAGCCCATTGAGATAAAAAATACAGTGAGGTTAGTAATGATGGAAATATTATTGTGAATAACAGTACTTCAGAGTTTTTATATGCCCTCAATCAACTAAAACGTTCTTTAGTTATTCATAGCACTTTTTCATTTATTATTAAATCGAAATCTGTAAGAAAATAAGTTGTACATTATATATTACTTTAGTCTTTTATGAACGGTCGCAGCGTACGTGCACAACAGTCCATTAAGGGTTAAATTGATTTATTTTGATTAAACTGTATCAGTGAACAATAGGAATACTTTTATAAAACTGCACAAAATATGATTGTAGCAAAAACAGTCGTAATAAAAAAATATTGCATGTTATAATAGTAATTTAAATGATAAGATCAGAAAACATATCTGTGTTGCATGTTTTACTAGAATTATGAAGATAATTTCAAGTATTAAAAATAAAATACTAAAACTATAAAGTTCACAAACCAATGTTTTTACTTTCTTATACGAAGTAAAGGAAGTATTATTATAAGGTATTTCTCCCACATCCCTATTATAAGGTACCTCCACATCCTTCGTGGTGTAAGGGTAGCACGCTCGGCCGGTATTCCGGAGGTCAGTGGTTCGATTCCCGGCGAAGGCTGTTGCATATTTTTCATCTTTTCTGCTTCCAATTAACCTAATGACTCTACAAGTGGCGACCGAACTAAAAGGTTGCGGATGATGATTCTCCGCACCCAGGATTTGGCGGCTAGGTACCCTAAAACCCTAGTCGCCCTTTAAAAAGGGGAGTATATAAGGTATTTTTCCCACTTCCCTAGCGTGCCTCGTAGTGTAACGGTCGCACGCTGGGCCGGTATTCCAGAGGTCCGTGGTTCGATTCCCGGCGAAAGCGGTTGCATATTTTTCATCTATCTTTTCTGCTTCCAATTAAGCTAATGACTCTACATTATAATCGCGAAAAATTTCAGGTATTATATTTCAACGAAAATATCTATTTTGACCGTTCTCGAATTCATTTGGACGATGGTTTTTTCGTGACGTCTGTACGTACGGACAGAATAAAGGACTTTCCCCCCCCCGAAACGGATGGTAAAATGGATTCAGAAGAGATTTTTTTCGTGACGTGTGTACGTACGTATGTATTTATCTCGCATAACTCAAAAACGAGTAGCCTCATAACATTGAAATATATATAGAGAAATTATATATATATAAACAGCGAGAGAGAGAGAGAGAGAGATCAGTTAGAAATGAACCAGTTTTTTATTTCTTTTGTTTTTAAATTGATTAAAAAAGAAAACTTGCATTTTGTGTTTTCTTCTTTGTGACAAAGAGCTCAAATAATAATTAACTGTTACGAATAAATATTGTCCAAAGCCGCTAGTTATTACATTTAATGTCCTTTCTGCTAAGACTTTTGGTATCAGTTTCAGAGCGTAACTTGCTTAATGAGAGCTACTTAAGGATCTAATCCTGCCACAACATTACTTAGACAAGGGTTTAAAGAGTCTCGATAACAATCGGTGCTTCTAATGTCTGCGATCTGCTGAAAATTGAACGCTCTAATCGATGGGCAAATAAAAACAACAGGAAAGATATTTGACGATGAATTAAAAGATAAAAACAACAGGAAAGATATTTGACGATGAATTAAAAGATAAAGAGCAAAGCTGTAAGGTATTAGGAAAAGTTGGTCATGAACTTTATTTCTTTTACATTAGTTTTTATACATACATTTCTCTTTCCTAAACTTTTAATTTTATGCGCATGTCAAATAATTAATAAAAGAGCCTCTTATGTCAAATATTACTTACATACTCGACACAAATTTTATCTTTTTTGCTCAATTTGTATAAGGAAAATTCTTAATTCCAACTTTTGAGGTAAGAAAGAAGGAAACAGTTTTATATTTTCCATCGATGTAAGGAGAAAAAAAAAAATGAATATTTGAAAAATGTACAGCCACTAAGTCATTAAATCTTTCATTTCAAATATTTATTTCCGAATTTACATCTGCATATTATAGGCGAGCGAAGTTGAGAGTTTTTTCAGGTTAGAAATGTTTAAATAAAAGATCAATAAAATAAATACGAAAAACGGGTTTCGGAGTTTATGTGGCTTGCATTACTGAATTTCCTGTTACATGAAGAATTCAAATATTTGCTCAGCCTTAAATTTCTTAACCTTGACGTAGAGGAAATTTAATCTAATATCACATTTTATTATTACATTTATTTTTGTAAAGCTTTTGTTGCTAGATTTTCTTAGAATAAACATTGATTTAAATGTTTTAAAAATTTTCAGTTACAACAAAATATTACTTTTGTCAAGCAGAAATAAAAAAAAATCTTTCGAATAATCTAAGGTGTAAATAATATTAAATAAACCACTTAAGAATCTGACAGTAGGAAGAGGACCAAATAAAATGGAGGATGATAAAAAGGAGACGCTTGATATAAAAGAGAAACATAAAATATTTTATAAAAGTGTTTACCTATCAACACCTTAAATCTGTTTTTAAAAAACAGTTTAAAAAAATTAATACAGTAATTACAAAATGAGAAATATTATAGAGAGGTAATTAAATAGAAAGCATAAAAGCTATAAAAAACAGCAAACTATACAGAATGAGAGTTACTTAAGAAAGAATAAAATTGAATATAATAAACAATAGCATTTAGTTTGTAAAAGAAAAATCATTCTTCTTGCCTAATCAATAATAATTTAGTTAGTTATTTCTTTCTTTTCCTCCAGCAGTTACAAAAATTCTCGTATTTTACAGTTACATTGCTCATATAAAGTTATATTTTCGTGTTATTTTTCCTTTGTCAATAAAATAAGTAATTATGTTTTAAGAATTTATAAAGGTCCTATTAGTAATGTGAATTCATGAGGAATTTATAGTATTTCCAATAAGCGCAGATTGATATACATTGGTCAAACGAAATACTGTTTAAAATTTCTCATCAAGGAATATAAATTTAATTTTCGATAAAAAGAAAACAAAAAGAGGGGAAAAAATCTAAAAGGTTTCAGATTTTAATGGTCATCCAAAAGCGTTTGTTAAGGTTTTGGCGCTGTCGCTGAGCTCGCAGTCTACGAGTTTGCTATAGCACTCACTCCTGCTAACCCATTTTCTGCTCTTTTAGCTTTATTATTGATTTCTTCGCTATTACGCCATCTACAGTTCAAGAGAAAAATCACAAAATTTTAAAAGCTGCACAGCAACATGTTTAGAATTTCCGACGCAGGTGTTAAGTGTTGGCATATATTTTTATATTTCAGTTTTTTTCTTAGTTCATCGTATCAGTGTTTAGTTTTCTTTGTAAGATGGCTTCGATTTTTTTTTTTTTTATCTTTTTATTATGAATGTTTTGAGTGTTAACTTTATTTATTAGATATCACATTTTTCAACCTTATGCCACATGGAATTCCATTCAACAGCAAAAGCACAAGATAATTCAGAACATCAGGGCTTTAGAATTTCCGATGGACAATCTCACACGCTGCATATTTAAAAAAAAAAAAAAAAAAAAAAAACTCAAGTGTTGCCACAGCTTACTTTGAAATCGTTGGGTTTACTAATAAAAAATTCATTAACCTTTTACAAAATTTGAAATAAATAATATAAAAATATATAATGTCATTCTATGAAGATATTGAATGCTTTTAACTAGATAGGTTATGAATTAAATCCATTTTTATTATCTAACTCAATCAGATTCACAAGTAGGAAGCGACTGCATCCACTGCTTTTAAATAGCTTAGTTTGTTAATCTACAACAGACCTATG